TCCCAGCTATCAAATGAGGATAATGAAACCTGACCTCCCCATGTATCCGGATGGTGTCAAGATAAGATGAAGTCATCAATCTGGAAGTGCTTTGGAAAGTCAAAAGTACTTTGCAAATGTAAGTGGTTATTATTTTATGGTTATCTTTATGGTCCTCCTCCCTCCTGGGACTTGCAGATGGAGCCAGACTGAAAGGCAGCCCAGGGGGAGCTGCGAGGCGAGGAGAGGCAGCCTCAGTATTTTCCATCAGGCAGATCTGTCTCTTTGGCAGGTGGGAGCCACATTCCCACGTACTAAATTGTTAATAGCTTCCCCAGGGAGTTCCTTTCTGCTCTGACTCCTTCAGTGATTTCTGTTTCTCTGTGGCTGACGCCTTCTGATGCCCTGGGTTGGCTCAGGATTTCCCACCCAGATTTTTTTCTTCTATTTTATTTTGGCTTGGTTTCCCCCTGAAGTCAGGGATGGGACTCATCCCATCAAGCAGAGCCCAGATTCTGATAAACCAGGGATGGAGATTTGGATCTACTCTTTGTTCACCAAGAGTAGGGATAGACTCAAGAATCTCTTGAGTTCCAAAGGACTCATAGCTCTTCCCAGTGGGGGACAGCTGCTGAACAGAGGCAGACAGAGTTCTTGGTGATTGCTACACCACGGGAGTACATGGTATAGCAGTTGGGAGACTGGGCATTGAACCTCCATACTATACGGGCCTGGCATCTCAGCTCTGGCTTCGGCAGGCCTCCCAATCTCTGCCAAATACAATAATAATCGCAGTAGCTCATGCCTGTAGGGCTGCTTGAGGATGAAATGAGATAATTGACGACACACTTGGCACAGGGCAAATGCTTCATAAACGGGAGCCAACAAGAATATATATGAGGTTATGATGACAAATTTGAGAATCCCTTTTAAAGATAGATTAGGGGCTGGGGTTGTAGCTCAATGGCAGAGCCTAGCACATGTAAGGCACTGGGTTCAATTCTCAGCCCTGCATATAAATAAATAAAATAAAGGTCCATTGACAACTAAAAAAATATTTAAAAGAAGTTTTAAAAAAGATAGTCTAAATAATAGCTGATATTCATGGAAGACTGGATTATTTCAAAGTAGAGTCATCTTTGGTTATCCTTGGGGGATTCACTCCAGGATCCCCTTGGATACCCAAACCCAGAGATACTCAAGTCCCTCTTATAAAGTGGTATAATATTTGCATATAATCTCTTGTATACTTTAAATTATCTCTAGAATACTTATAATTCCTAACTGTAAGTTGCTACACAAATAGTTGTTATACAGTATTATTTAGGAAATAATGATGAACAAAATTCTGTACATATTCAGTACAGATGTATTTCTCTGTCTCTGTCTTTCTCTGTCTCTTTCTTTCTTTCTTGTTGTGCTGAGGATTGCACCCAGAGGCACTTTACCAGTGAGCTATAACCCCAGCCCTTTTTCTTAATTTTTTATTTTGAGACAGGATCTTGCTAAGTTGCTGAGGCTGGCCTGGAACTTGCCATCCTTCTGCCTCAGCCTCCCAAATTACTGGGATTACAGGTGTGTGCCATTGCGAACAGCACAGATATATATATATATATATATATATATATATATATATTGTGGGGGGCGGGGACAGTACTGGGGATTGAACTCAAGGGCGATTAACCACTGATCCACATTCCCAGCCTTATTTTGTATTTTATTTAGAGACAGGGTCTCACTGTGTTGCTAGGCTGGCTTTGAACATGTGGTCCTCCTGTCTCAGCCTCCCATGTTGCTGGGATTAAAGGCGTGTGCCACTGCGCCAGGCTCAGATGTATTCTTTTTAAAAATATTTTTGATCTGCAGTTGTTGAATCCCAGGATTCAGAACCCATAGATATGGAGACTCAACTGACTTCACTTTGGTGTTGTTTTGCTTTTGTTTTTGTTCTGTGCTGGGCATCTAACCCAGGGCCTTACACATTCTAGGCAAGTACTCCCCCTCTGAGCTACACTCCCAGCCCTGACTGTCATCACTTTGGAAGGCCATTGTGGAACCCCCTTTCAAGGCCTTTTGAGTTTCCATATGCTTTTCCAATGGCCAATATAGGAGACATTCACATGCACTTGACATGTATGACAAAGATTATTTCTTCTTCCTCTTCTTTGGGCCTCATTAAGTTGCTGAAGCTGGCTTTGAACTTGAGATCCTCCTGCCTCAGCCTCCCAAGCCACTGGGATTATAGGCGTGACCCACCACACCTGGCTCATAGTTTCTTGATTGCAAGCTCTCAAGGGAGGGACATTTTGGCTCATCTCCTGGTTTAATAGCTCATGTCTATTATGGTTTTTCTCAGTTAGCAAAGCATCCATGGTTTTACCAGCTCTCCCTGCTTCCTGCATCTCTCTACCTTATAGATAAAAAAAATTCAGGCCCAGAAAGGTTAAGTTTTGTGCTTCCACCAGAGGGATTAAAAAAACATGGTGGAAGGCAATTTTTCAAATATATATATATATATATATATATATATATATATATATATATATATATAGATAGAGAGAGAGAGAGAGAGAGAGAGAGAGAGAGAGTTTGTTTTTTTATTTTTTTTTTGGTTTTTTTTTTTAATGTGGTGCTAGGGATCAAACCCAGTGCCTCATGCATCCTAGGAAAGCGTTCTACCACCTAGACACCACCTCAGCCCCCAGAATGCAATTTTTAAAAACTCTTTTCAGAAGTGTGGGATTGGGGTGGAGAGAGGGGATGGAGGCAGAAGAAGGTAGCAGCAAACACAGGATTGTAGGTTTACTTCTCCCAGACAGGGGAGGGCCCCGAGGCCATGCTCAGAAAGATTGGCAGACTCACTAGCTGATCAGCAAAAGCCAAGGTGACAGGTGGTAGAACTGGAAATTAGCATTTTAGTTCCAAATAAGATGTGATTAGAGCCCATTCTGTGAAGGGTTTTAGTTGCTTAGAAGAATTCTTAGGTCTGTATTAAGCTATATCTTCCCTGTCTCCCTCTTCAAAAAGGGCCCACCAAGTCGGAACTGAGCTTTTTTATGCAATCACTCATCAAGTGAGCACCTGGGTGTCAGGGACTATACCACGATGAGGTACAGAAATGCACAAGAGCAATGAACAAACAGTGCTGACTCAAAGAAACATGGGAAATTATGCAAAGAAGACAAACACGGTGCTGTGAGAGCAGATAGCAAGGCAGTCTGGTCTCATTGGGATCTGGTCAGTGAAGGTTTCATGAAGGAATTGAGAATGAAGCTGAAACTTGCAGGATGAATATTAATAGCATGTAACTTGGGGAAGTGGCCTGGCCTTCCAAGTGGAAGGAATAGAATGTGCGAATGTCCTGAAGTAGGAAAAAACATGGTTTGTCAAAGGGATGGAGGAGGCCAGAACTCCAGTAAAATAGTCATTCTCTTCCCTATTCCAATCTCTCTCTCCTGGTGCTAGAAAAGTCTCTGAGTGTGCCAGATCCTTTGAAACAAAGAAGAGAATTTGGCAGCACATGATCACTGCATGTCTGATGAGTTTTTAGATGGCTGAATGGGAAAGCCTTGGGGTGAGGGGTTTGCTGTAGCTGGTAGAGGGACTTGGACAGCCACTGAGGAGACGGAGAGAAGAGAGCAGAGAGGAGAATGACCTTGGAAATCCTCCCTGGCTTCCTTCAGTCCCCTGACCACAGGGCCTTTGCAGATGTGCTTTCTTTGTTTGGAACCGTCTTCCCACATTTCTTCCCTAAGTTATGCTTCCCCACTCCCCACCCAAACTTTCACATCACACTGGTTTTGTAAAGACCCTTCCCCTTTCCTTAATTTCAACTATCATCTTCAATCATATGGTTTTAGGATTAATGTCTCTTTCTTGCTCACTGTTCTATAAGTGCAGGGAAGCCGGGGCTGCACCTGGTTTTGTGTCCCACTGGATCCCAATAGTACTTGGCTCTTACATTAAATACTCTCAAAATATTTGTGGTGCATAGCTGACCATGTGGCAGATGCCATTAATCTCCGTGACTCAGAAGGCTGAGGCAGGAGATCTGCAAGTTAGAGGCCAACCTCAGCAATTTAGCAAAGACCTCTCTGCAACTTAGCAAGACCCTATATCAAAATTTAAAAAGTGCTGGGGATGCAGGTCATGGTAGGGCGCCCCTGGGCTCAATCTCCACTACCCAAAATCGTGCAGCCGATGAATGGGGTGCAAGAAAAGCATGGCTAATAAAAGTTCTTTATGGAGCACTTTCTATGTGCCCCAATGAGCTGTTTTTCCCCTCTAAGGTTTCACATGTTTATTACAGAACCAATCTACTAGTGCAGAGCATAAAAACAAAAAGAAAATCAGATTCTCAATGAAACATGTCCAGCTGTCCAGACAGTGGTGACCTTTCAACTCTATACGGTAAGATAGTGACCTTGATAAAGCGCAAATGTGTATGCCATCTCACGTGCAATTCCTTAGACCACTTGGTTCTTTCCCACATCTCCTCTGAATTTATTACCGGTTTTCATCCGAGTCCCTTAGGGGAGTGGGACGATTTTGCTTCTGTTTCTTGTCCAGGAATCGCTTGATCCTGGAAGTCTTATGAGAAGACATGGCAAGGAACGGAGTCCAGCACACACTGCGACAGCGGAGAAAAGGAGACCACTGAGTTCTGTGGTCGCATTATCTTAATCTCCCCGACAACTCTCTGAGGGAGGTAGAGAGGTTTTCCTCATTTTACAGATAAAAAGAATGAACTTGAGATGGTTAAGTGACTTGCTCAAGGTTACTCTGCTGGTGGGAGGTGGGATTCACATCCAGGTTCTTCTGACTCCAAAGTGGCAAGGGGGCGGGAGGTGAGTCCAGGCTGGAGTGGGGGCGCACTCGAGCCCGCAGAGTCTAACCAGAGAGGGGGCTGGAGACTCCTCGGCCCAGCTCCGAGCCCGAGCCGGTGGTGTAGCGCCCGCCCCCGGTTGCGGGCGCAGGCTGGCGGACGCCTCCGGGCCACGTGGTGCGCGCGGCGGGCGCGTCCGAGGAGCCGGTAGCAGCTCCTGGCTCACAGCGCTCCGGGCTAGGCGAGCGGGAGGACGCCGTGTGCTGGATCGGTGCGGGCGGCAGGGCAGGCGGAGGAGGCGCAGAGAAAGCCGGTCGGCCAGGACGCTGCAGCAGGCGGCGTCGGGGCCGCAGCTTCGGCCCTTGGCGCGCCCCTAGCGCCAGGTTCCTGCGCCCTGGGCGCACGGTGGAGAGGGACCCGGAGTCGATCGCGGGGCCGCCATGGAGCCTGTCCCCTCTGCGGATGCCGAGCTACAGCCCCTGATTCTCACCAACGCCTCGGACGCCTTCCCCAGCGCCTTCCCCAGCGCGGGCGCCAATGCGTCGGGGCAGCCGGGCGCTCGGAGCGCCTCATCCCTCGCCCTGGCTATCGCTATCACCGCGCTCTACTCGGCTGTGTGCGCAGTGGGGCTGCTGGGCAACGTTCTTGTCATGTTTGGCATCGTCCGGTGAGTCCACTGCGGGCTGGCGCCGCGGGACTTGGCCCCGGGGTGAGGATTGTGACCACGGATTTGAGACCTGGGCCTCGACTCCTCCAACCTTCGCACGAGGTCCAGAGGGGAGGGTACTTCTTTTGAGAGTGGGACACAGAAATGAATGTCTTGTGTGAGTGTGTGTGTGTGTGTGTATGTGTGTGTGTGTGTGTGCGCGCGCGCACGCTTGCTTCTTGAGCTTGCCTAACATTTAATCGTTCGTTTGCATCCCCTTGCTTCTGCACCAGGGTTGTGGGACAGTTTGGCAACAGTTTGTGTCTGTCAGTTTGCGAGTGGGTGATTGTGACAGTAAGAGTATATGTTTAGTCCTCTGAAACTTCAGGGGTGGGTGGAGATGCTCTACAGTGCTTTGGGCCTTCCAGGTAGACTGATGAGTATGGACACTATGTAGGTGGTGGGGACAGTGTCATATTTGCACCATGCTGGGGGGGTGCACTTACCAAGTCAGATTTGGTAACTATGTTGGGGTCCCCATGTTGGTGTGTGCTTGTCCCAAACCATCAATTTGTAGTTGTCTCTGAGAATGAGATGTTGACTGTGATGTTTCTTGTCAAACCTCTGAAACCCCAAGGAGAGGGGTCATCCAAAGTGGTTTTGGTCACCGATCTTTGTGCAGCTACATATGCTTGCCAATGGAGAGCCCATGGATACAATGGTCAATGGCTGTGGGCTGTCTAATAGACTCTCTTCTCCCTTCCCCAGTGGCCATCTGGTCAGGAACTCTGGATATGACTCAGAAAAGGCTCTGATCTCCTCATAAATGTCCCTCTCATTTTCTCTCTTTTTTTTCCCCCCAAGACAGCAGTGGTTAGTTTGGGCAGCAGTGGAATTTGTGCTTTTGACCCCCTCAAAGTGAGGTTCTCTTCTTGATATTTGCAGAATGTTCTGAGACCTTGTCAGTCTAAAACATCATCAGTGTTTCCCAGAAGTGGCCCTCCTGATGTCACCCTGCCAGCTCATATCTGGGCAAAAAAGATTGAGAGGAGACTCCCATCCTTAAACAAGATGCCTTGGGATTTGCTGCTGTTTGAAATGGGTCTCCCATGCTGGTTGATCCAGGACCTAATCCTGAACTTTTCTGGGCAATGGTGTCACCAGGTTGGGAAGAGGACAGATCATGGGCTCAGTGGTTAGAGATGTGAACCATGGTCCCAGCCCAGCCTTGAGACCTATGCCTTATTGCTCCTGCCTCAGCCGCCATCTGCCTCAGTTTCCCTATGGAAGAACAGAGACCCAATCTCCTTGGTTGAACAGTATGAATTCCAGAGTGTGGGGGCTCTGCAGGGAAGCATGTTGGAGCATCTAATGGAGTATGTGGGTCTCAGGGGTCTTTGGCATTGATGACCTCTTTGCTCCTCAGGAAGAGTGGAAGGTACAAGGGTTTCCTGAGCCTTTAGTGACTCATCACCAGCTACAGTGGGAAAATTTCCCCAAGCACAGGGAGGGCTGATCTTTGCTTTGTGTTTTTGTCAGTGAATTTCCCCACTCTGTAGGCTTAGAGTTGGGCTGATGTGGGTTTAATCCCTGTTCTGCCACAAACTGGCTTTGTGACATGGGCACATCTCTTACTTCTTTGAGCCTCTGTTTCACCCATAGATGGGGAGATAATAGAACCTCCTTCAGCAGGGTGGTTGTGAGGTGTCAGTGAAGGGGTGTATCTAATGCAGCTGGCTTGGTGCCTGGACCCAATAAATGGAAGCTGTCTGTACAATGAGGAGGAGGAATTTTCCAGATCCTACAGGATCCAGGGTTGATTCAAGAAGGGAACATGAGGGAGGCACTCATCTTAAGGTGGGCCTGAGAGTGGATACAACTCGGAGAGCTACATGCTCTCTAGGGGAGCTCCAGAAGCTCAAGTCTGGGAAAAGCTGAGAGTCAGATTGTTCCCATCTCCAGCCTTTTCCCCAGGGCCTCTGGCTGCTGGGCTGATGAGCACAGCTTTCCTAAGACCATTGAGCAAGGGAGGGCCTCCTTCTTCTCAGGAACTGCTCTGGGGAGGCTCTGGGCTCAGCCTGCTGGGTGCATTTCCAGCCAGCCTTTTGGAAATCAATTGTCAAATGTATGCAAATGGCATAGCTGGCTCCATAGGTCCCCATGTTGCTACATTTCCCTGGCCGTCTGTCTATAACAGTCTCTGGGTCTGAATGAGTTAATGCTCACCTATAACCGTGAGCAGTAGGCATTAGGATCACCATCATCCTTGCCCTCATTTTACAGATCAGATGAGGAATCTGCTGCTCATGGAGCAGCCAGGTGACTTGTTCTTTGTTACTGCATCTGGCACCAGACTCAGAGCTAGAGCCCTAATGTTATGACTCCAGATTCAGAACTTTTTCTGAACTACCTGGGGTAGGGGAGAGTCAAAGCATTGCATAGAAGAAGGGTGGGAGAGTCCTGTCCCTCCTCAGAACATGGATCCTCAGAACATGCTGGAGACCCTGAGAACTGGGACCCTATATGTTATTGAGCCCATACATTACAGTCTGCTGTCCTTAGAGGTGGGAGGATGATGGGGGCTAAGAGGCAGGCTCAGCACAGGGCAGTTATCTAAGGGTCGACTTCTTCCAGAAAACTCCCAAGAGCAGTGGAGAGAGGGCAGCCGAGGATGGAGGGAAAAAATCCCCTGGTTCCCTGAAGGACTCCTGGAGCTCTGAGCCACCTGTGATTCCCTGGCCACCCATGCCGGGCCTGGCACAGCCAATAAACAAGCCCATGGATTGGTTACATAAAGAAGTGATTGAATGAATTGTGCCAATCAGGCCTGAGCTTCGGCAGCTGAAGGCCGGGGAAGGATCTCAAAGGAAGATCCAGAGGACCCCTGGGGCAGGAAAGCAGGGTAGTGCAGTGGGCAGAGCTGGGGTTCTGGAGTCAGACACGTGAATTCAAATCGGCTGACTGCTTGCTGCGTATGTGGGCTAGCCACTTCTCTATGGAAGCTCACCCCCCACCCAGAAAGTGGGAATAGCAACAAGCCCTCCAAGGGCTGGGATGAGGCTTAAAGGAGATGAAGTATGAAATCTGAGCCTTTGAGACCCTGAGCCCTTTGAGAACAGGGAGGGGCTCTGTGTGAAGGAGTGAAAAGAATTAACTCTTTCAAGGAAGTTCCAAGGATGCTGTGCTGGATGCTGAGATCCAACCGTGAGGAAAAAGGAAAAAACCCCAAATTTGCAGCTGTGCGAAGGGCTTGTGGGGTGAGAGAGGGTCTCGCCTAGTCAGAGATCAGAGGTGCACTCTTCAGAGCTGCAGGATGAGGAGACAGAGGTGGAAATGGGAAGAATGACAGGGAGGAGGGCCTGAGAAAAAGAACCAGGAATCTCAGAATGCCAGAGCCCACCGCACGGCTGCACTAACCCCCTCCTCACTCCACGACCCGCCCGAGGAGCCCACTCATCCTTCTGGGTGCATGAGAATCACCCTCTTAGCAGACAGCCTGTGTGGTTCCCAGGAATAAGGTTTCTATGAAGTGCAAGCAGGATTTCTCAGGACAGCTGGTCCCCAGAGTGGAGCATCACCACCTGCTCTGCAGTGAGTCCAGCCTACCAGGGGACTCCAGCGTGGAGGTGCCCCGGGTCCTCAGTGCAGACCTGGACAACCGCTCCTTCTGGGCAGAGCCAGTGCCCTCAGCCGTGCTGACATCTCAGAGAGTTTCCATCAGTGGTCCTTTGGGTATGGTGGAATTAGAGGGTTCAGAAGACCCTTATCTTTGGCAGGTGACCCCCTGTCCCCTCCACTTCCTGCCCCAAACTTTCTGGTTCACCCATCCTGGACTCTAGGCAGAAGAATGGAGTCAGTCTTTTCCCACCTGGTCTGTTCTAAAGGCTTCCTGCCTCGCTGCCTCTACCTCTCCCGATCCTGGGTTGGGCAGGTTTGCACCTACCGTCTCTACCCTCTCCCAGTGTCCTCTGTCCCTTTCCAGCCCCAGTTTTCCTCTGTGTGACTGTTTCACGTTGAATACTTCTCTGCCCCTTGATCTCTCCTCATCCTAGGTCTCTTCTGGCTTTTCTCCTTGTATCAAATGCCAATTGAGGTCTTTGGCAAGCTGGCTGGACTCCCTGAACCTCAGTGTCTTCATCTGTCAGATGCACCACCTCTTAGGTGCTTGGGTCCTAAAGATTGGATAAGTGATGTTGGTGAAGCAACTTGTTTTCCCTGCCATCCCAGGTGACTGCCACACACAGCAGGGAGGATGGGCCTGGCCAGATGGCCTGGGCTGTGGCAGGGTCACAGTGAATAAGGGGTTCTGGTTGTCCCTTCTGTCTTTTGAAGTGTAAGGAGCTGCCGGGAAAGGGTCTCAAGTATTAACTGCAGAATTGGGAACACTAAGTCCCTGTCTCATTTTGGAGGCCCAGCCTGTGCTGTTTGTCTATTTCTCTCTCCCCTCTTTCTCAGGTTAGGGAAGGGGCTGTTATGGCTTGGATGTGAGGTGTTCCCCAAAAGCTCACATGTGAGACAGTGCAAGAAAGTTCAGAGGAGACAGGATTGGGTTGTAAGAGTCTTAACCCAGTCAGTGAATGACTCCCCTGATAGGGATTAACTGAGTGGAAACCGAAGCGGTGGGGTGTGTCTGGAGGAGGTGGAAATTGGGGTGTGGCTTTGGGTGTCTGTTTGTATCTGGCCAGTGGGCTCTCTCTCTGCTTCCTGATCACTGTGTGAGCTGCTTCCAGAGGGACTTTGCCGCCATGATGTTCAGTCTCATCTTGATCCCTGAGGAATGGAGCCAGCCTTCTGTGGACTAAGACCTCTGAAACTGTGAGCCCGCAGATAAACTTTCCTCCTCTATAATTGTTCTGGTCAGATCTTTTAGTTACAGCAGCAAAAAAGCTGAATAAAACAGGGGCCAAGGGTCTCCAGGCCAGGAGAGATTCTGGTGAGAAAACAGTGTCATGATGAAGGTCACAGTCAGGGGTGAGCTAGTACTGGGTGGGTCTCAATCCCAGCTCTCCCACGTCCTGTTG